CTGAGATGGGAATGCTAAGTTCTCCATTCTCAGTTTCCATGTCACAAAAATGGAAAGATATTACGTAGCAATTTCTTAGCACTACTATGAAATGCCTTCTTTTTATCAACTGAACTCATTTTAACGATGAAAAAACGCTATCCTTAATATTTACAGAGAAGACTAATATATTGGAAAACGACATGTTAAAATCAACTATGATCTAGGTAATAGCAAAGGATCCCGTGCAAATGGAGTGGAACCCTATTGACCTATTGACCCTATTTCTTTACTGGCCCACCAGCGGCCGAGCGGTAAAGTCGCTGAACACTGGTAGTTCGGTCCGAAATTCGAATCCCGCGAACGCGCTCACTGCATTGGCGTTTTCGTGGTTTTCCCCATGTGTAACGTGTATACGAGCCAATTTCCCTTAGAAAGTCCTCCACGAAGGCATACCGCCCCTTAGGCAGATAGCCCTAGTGTGCTTTGCCCTAATTAAATACACCAACACCACCTTTTTTTACTACAAAAGGAATACATCCGCTAATGAACATAGTTCCATGATTTTTTTTTTACCTTACCTTTGAAAGAAAGCAATAGAATGTGCAATGTTCATATAAAACTCATAAATTATTAAAAAAACTTGACAGAGCGTTAATCAAACGGTTCATTTTTCGTACAGTGAGTATCTAAAAGATTTCAATATAGAAATATGAAAATGCATTAATCGACTCTGACATTGAAAAACAGAACAGATGAGAATGACTGCATAAAAGAAGGCATTATTTTATGCGTCTGGAAATTTCGTTTATGAAAATAGTTACACTTCTTTAACCATAATAAGGAGTAGATGCTTCTTAAGTATTGCTGATAGCCTAAAATTGTACATAATGTGTGAATAAGTAAATATATATATATATATTAAAATTGTTAAGATTGATTAAGTAGGTATCGCAAAAATAAGCGTTTCATGTTTATAACATATATTGTTGCGTTCGTAAAGGTTCGTAATAGATTGAATGCAGACAGGTCCGATGACAGGTTGCTAAAATTTATTTAACAAAGGAAACACTTAACAGTTCTGGAACTTTCCACAAAAATAGTCGTACAGTTCTTCACAGTATCATAGAGAACAGACAGTAGTTACGCTTTAGAGTATTTTCCCAGCAGCCGAGAGATTTCTAGTAGTTTCTGCGTCTCGAAATTACTGGAAGGCATATAAAGTTTCGATTTAAGGTCACAGCTAATATAGTGATTAATTACATTTATTCAATTACAATAGGTATTGCGGAGCTAGAGGGACCGGACAAAATTGTCGCCGAATGGGCGCCAACTTTGTCGACTTCTGATGATTTATCGCCAAATTAGCGAGACAGCCGTTTACTCAATGTTAAGTCAATTTGCTCCTTTCCTCTTTTTTTTTTTTTTTTTTTTTTTTTTTTTTTTTTTTTTTTTTGTTCCAGCTAAACATTGTCGCGCTCTAGATTTTCATGTTACTTTACATTACACAGTAAAAATACAGTTTCACCTATAATTTCACTAAAATTTTCTACCTATTGTACAAAATTCGTAACATATACACAAAATCAAGTATAACTGAACAAAGCATATGCGAAGACGTATTTAAACAAGAAATCTGCAACTATAATTAAACATATTGATGTAAACTTTATTACATTTCAACACTTAATATATTCCAAATTTGATTTTTTCGGGCCTTCCCTTTCAAGACGGGTGTATTGTAAATGCATCAGTACTTAATTCTCTTACTCGACGGCATGCCGCTTAGAGCAAATCGCCGTTGTTGCAGTAGGTACGATCTCGCAAGGCGGAGTATTTCGCGTTTCTAGGCCTAACTTAAAAATATTATAAAATCACTAAAACTATTTTTTTAATCAATTGTTTTGATTTTTTCTGTAATGGTATCTAACAGTAATATAATCATAAATAAAGAATATCAAGAGGTTCTGAAAAAATTTGAATTAAAATCTCAATGCAAAATAAAATATTTGACTCATCTTGATGAAATGTAAAAAACTTACTTAAATCTATATCTAAACATATGTAAAAAATAATAAAATACATGATTAAGTATTATAGCATAACAATTACAATTCGAATATACTCTTCTTCCGTTGAAAAATTCTTCCTCTTAGACATCGCACTATTAGTTTAATTCTTTTAACCTGTAACTTACGTTTGCTATCTACAGAAGATACAAACTGAATACAAATCCGAGTTCCTAAAACCACAGCTTCACTCCAATATTCACACGGTGGGAAAAAACAAATTTGTAGCATAGGAAAATATTCAACGTTTATATCATGCGAAGCCTCAAGCTGCACGTCAGCTGGGTTTTGTACGTCATCTGCTCGTATACCTAAACGAATCACCAGAATTAGAAAGTACTTCACGGACAGAAGTCCAACAATGTATATGTTCAAATAAGCTAAGTGTAGTGGACGCACGGAACGCCATCTAATGATTTAAATAGTTCTAAAAGAACGTGTATGTTTGAAAGTACGTAGGTTGATCCAAAAAAAAGTTTACAAGCAGAAGCATTTGAAACGTAATAATTGTGGAGCGAATATTTCCACCCAGGTTGGTTAACAGATGGCGCTTGTTGTCCTACAGCGTTTCTACGAGTAAGTAGAGTCAGTACGCAGACACTTAAAAGCGACAGTAATGGCACGACGTCTAGAAAATGGTCTCGCATAGAGGTGCGAGCCGTAATTCGATTCTTATGGGCCAAGAATGTGGCCGCATCCGAAATTTACAGACAAATTTTTGAGGTATACGGGGACAAAGCAATGAGTAGATAACAGGTAGCGAAATGGTGTCGTTCTTATCAAGCGGGCAAGGAACATGTGGAAAACCACAATATGGAAGTGAGCGGCCGTCCAAGTTCTTCAAGGACGGATATCAACATGGCACGTGTTGAAGAAATCATCCAAAGGGATCGACGAGTAACCGTGCGTGAGATTGCCTCAGAGTTGGACCTGAGTTATGGTAACGTTGAGCGTATCGTAACCGATGAGTTGCGATATTCCCAAAGTTTGTGCCCGCTGGGTTCCACGTGCGTTGTCCGCGGAGCATAAGGCCACTCGAATGACGTGCAGCCTCACATTTCTTCAGCGATACCATTTAGACGGCCAACACTTCATTGATCGCATCGTTACCGGTGATGAAACATGACTTCATCACTTCATCCCCACATCCAAAAGAGGCACGATGGAGTGGAAACACGCTAGATCACCGACGAGGAAGAAGTTTAAGGTAACCAGTAAGGCCATCACTTTACTGGCACCCTCTGCCAGTAAAGTGATGGCAACCGTTTTCTGGGATACGACTGGTGTTATCCTAATCGAGTATTTGAAACGTGGCCATGCCATTAAGGCCGATCGTTATTGTGCCACCTTAACGAAATTGCGTAAAGCCATCCGACGCAAACAGCCTGGATTACTGAGCAAAGGCGTCATTCTTCTGCATGACAATGTCAGGCCCCATACAGCTCGCCAGACTCAGGAATTGCTGCAAAGGTTCAAGTGGGAGGTCTGGAATAACCCCCATACAGCCCCGATTTGGCTCCAAGTAACTATATCATTTTTCCGGCGTTGAAGCGGTACTCATCCGGAACACGGTTTACCTCATACGATGTAGTGAAAACAGCTGCCGAGAAATGGCTCGATGAGCAGGGCCCTGATTACTAACAAGACGGGATAAACAAGTTGGTCGAACGTTCTGACAAAATGCCTAAACAGGTTGGCGTCTGTGTGGAAAAGTGAAGGCCAGATGTGTCTCTTGATTTCCATTTGTATCTTGTTTCTATTATTAATAAATACTTTTTCATTTGCCTTGTAAACTTTTTTTTGGATCACCCCTCGTACATATATGAAACACCCGTCTGGAAGATCAATGCACCAGTGCAAACCAGTGCAACATCCCGCTGCTAGTGACATTTGGGACTGAAGCATTTATGACACACCCGTGTGCAGAGAGTTTTCAATTCAGCAACATACTGTCACGAAGGGGTTAAGAGCCATAAATTGAAATTCTCTTTGACAGTCTGGAATTTAAAAATTCCTAAAAAATGAAGTATAAAGTAAATACAGTAATAATAGTAATAATAATAAAATAATTACATGAGTAATATAAAGATATCAATATATAATTAGTAGTTTGAAAACAGAGCTTGGAGTTAGAGGTTAATGAAATAAGTAATGAAACAGCAGATACAGATGAGTAAACTTACCCCCTATCTGGCACCTGTTCTGATATTAGAAGAATAGTGGGGAAGAGAACAATTCTCTGCAGATGAGAAAGGGTAGGCAATTTGTCTAAAACATCACTTTGTACGAATAGACTACGTATCCATAAGTTCAGGGGAGTAACCGGTGAGAAGACTTTTTTCAAGATTATTCTATTTTTAGAGATAACATAGAAATGCTTAGAACTTTCTAAGACGGGTGCATTCATTATAGCCAATGCAAAAAATATACTGTAGCTACTTTTTATATATTGCGAATAATGCATTTTGGATTATGGATAGTAATCATATTATTGTTTTACTATTGTATATCTTTCTGTGAATAACTCAGTATTCGAAAGGACGTTTCTCCACAACCGTAAACAAGCCAGTGGCGTATCTGTCTTGTCTGAAAGTAACATTAGAACAAGTCTACTAATTACATCGGGCCACGAATGGCATTATTGAATCTGTCGCTGCCACGTGCATTTGGCGCCTTAAAGATGACAGTGCGACTCAAAACTGTGACGAAGCTCCGTCCCAGTTTTGATGAAGAATCCTCCACTGGTGTATTCTCTATCAAAACTGGTCACAAAATTTTCTTCGGGATTCAGACCCGGCCAGCCGATACAGCAACCAGCATCTCTCATCACTATATCGACCAGATTTCTCTACTTTAAAAGAAAATTATTATTAAAGATTTTTATTGTTTCGTCGGTTTTTAATTTGTATATCTTTTTCAACCATCTCATTCTTTGACCATCTCTATTTACAGGGTTTCAGATGAGTCGGGGTGTCGTTATCCCGCCTGGAGGGGTTTTAAACTTCAACTGTTTTAAACATTTTATTGAAAGCGGTAAGGAAAGTTCTCTATATATTCAAATTTTGTCCAAATATTTCTCATTGTAATTGCAGATTGCCAATATAAATTAATTGGTTGTCACATTAAATTATGCCCATATCTAGCCTCTTGACAAATGAACTTATCTGGTTTCATTAAAAGTAAATAATGTCTACGCTTATGCTTATCTCTTGCAGTTTTTAATATATCGGCAGACGAGTTCATGTGCGCTTTGTACCAAAAGCCATAAATTATGTGAACATAAATAAATAGCTAGTAATAATACCAAAACAAAAAGGTTTTCCAATTAAATTTTAAATAGCCTTATAAACGTACTTCTTATTATTGTACCGGTTAAATTGCAAACGGGAACTTCCTGTTACAAAAGAAGTTTGTCAAATGTGATAACCAATAAGTATTGTATAATAATAAACTTGAATTAAAAGAACATGAACAATTATAGGTTTAAAATGTACTGTTTCAAATATTGGTATGTTTAGGGATTATTTTGAAATTTTCAAGCCCATATTTGCACAATTTTCGTTAAGAATTTGTGTACTTCCATACATATTAATTTCTCACACTTACATTGCATAAGCATTAAAACTGTTGCGTTAAACGCCTTTTATTTTTGCACTGCACTTTTGTTGCTGTTAACATTTAAAAATTTCTGACATATATCCTTTGACTTTTTCATCTGATTTTGAAGATCTTCTAGATTACCAATTTTCTTTTTTCAGAGACTTTAATTTCACTGTCAGATTTCAAAATACCTCTCATTTGATTAGAACATTTAAAATTTCCTTTTAACTCTTTTGCTTCGATAGAGACCAAAATCTGTTCATCTAAAACACGTGAATCGTCCGTATGTACGAAATTCTTGTGGAATGGATTTTCTGCCCCCTTGCCTAGTCGAATCCGACGAATAAAGTCCGAACGACTTCGCTATGAAAAGGTTAAGATAGCTTCGGGACCCCCATGTTATTTCATTATGATATTTATTAGCCATTAAGATGTATTATTTTCCACAATAAAACCTTAGGGTAGGATTTCAAGTTTTACTGACCTATTAATTACACACAAGCAGTTAGAAATTACTAAGATATGCTACTATTTTTAATAAACAAATCCATTTCAAAAAGCGTTTGCTAAATAAATCTTTTAGTGATTCATTTGTTTAGAATAAAAGACTGTGAATGTGTTGAAATAAAGGTCTCAAATCTATCGCTTCTTAAATTGCAAGGAATACAGCAAATATATTTTGGGCCAATATAAAACAAATCGCGGTAAACCCTCGTTAAATATTAATTCATGTCATATTTTAAAAAAATTGCTCATGTAAAATATTCGTAAAATTTAATGCTCTGCTTTTTATTCCAGAAACGTTATGGATAATAATCACGAAGTAATAAATTATAGGGTTAAAAGAAAGAAATTCGGTTCGTTTCAGAATAGAAAAGAAATAAGAAGTTTAAGAAACATAAATAATGGCTGTACAAAAGGTTTTCAGTTTAAGATAGTTAATATGATATAAGCACGTATCATTTTACCCAGGTTTAGGCATTAGGCTGAAATATAACCATTAGTGTGAAGTAGGAAAATAACAAAAATCTTTCGTTTAATAGTGAATGTAGATATTTCCATTTCTTGCGCAGTAATATGCTTTAGCTTTTATGTAAATACAGTAATAATAGGCTCTGCGCATGCTTGCACCATTACTGTGTGCCTTTCGGTCAGCTGCATTATTTTGCTTATTTTTGCGGTGATTGGTTTGTGAAAGTGCAAGAGTGCGATTGATTCGTGTTATTTCTTCGTTCGTATACTTAGTTCAGTGATTAGTTTGATTTTACACACCAAATTTAAGGATTGGTGATCATCTTAAATCTTCAAGTGAGAGAAGCCAACATGGACGCGATTTGTTGAAGATCGGAGACCGTTGTGCTTGGGATTTACTATTTATTCACTGTATTTATGCTCTAAAGTATAAGTATTTAAGTTAATTCTTTATCCGGTTTTGAATTTAATCCTTATTGTGCATTTTCACGGTACATCTAATGTATTAGGACCATTTTTATTACTGCAGGCACTTAAGCCTAACCAGACGGATTAATGCCCGTGTTTCCCAACGTAGGACCCACGCCCCACAAGGGGACAATGCGACTGTTAAGGGGGGCAGTTCGAAAATGGAGTTTATGGAGACAATGGACGTTCAAACGGGACAAAGAATGTTCTAAATATGTTTCATAAATATGTTTCATAAAGTCAAAATTTTTCAAAATCTCATTTTTTATTCCCCAAAATAAAGAAAAATGTAAGTTATGTATACGTAAAAAAGTTTTTAAATTGCGTTGCATTTTAAATATTTTATAAAGAATTCTCGCTGTAGACACAGACACTTAAATGCTTTTAAAGGCATTTAAATATCCATGTCTGTCATTCACATTATGCTTTCCAAACGTTTCGCGTACATTTCAGCCAACAAATTAATTTTATTTTTTACTGTAGGAATGGCAACTGGTATATTATTCTTTCCTTGAATGGCAAAAGCAGCTGCTTTCAGCTTTGTTTATATTGATTTTATATTTACACTGGTGTGCAAAAATTAAGGACCAGACGGTTTTTTTCAATATAACTTTGTACAAAAGCTTTCCAAATCAACACATTTAATACCGTAAGATCCCCAATACGTAAGGACATGAGTAATGTAAGCAACACTTACTAAAAGAGATAGAAGCTTTATAAAAAGAAGCTTTATTGAAAAAGTAGCATGGAGCGCAATGCGACTGAAGGCCGAAACATCCCTGTGATGGGAGTCCAGCAAGAAACATCCGGTCTTTAATAGGGGATATGATCTCCCCTGACTGCTAGGCAGGTTTCACAGCGTCTGCCTATGCTGAGAATGAGGGTGTCAATGAGTTGTTGAGGCATTGCTGCCCATTCGTCTTGCAGCGCCAATCGAAGCTCCGGAATCGTTACTGGCGGTAAAGTACGAGCTGCCAAGCGTCTGCCTAGAAAATCCCATACATGCTCGATGGGACTGAGATCCGGAGATCGTGCCGGCCAATCCATACGTTCAATATCCTCACTCTCTAAGAGCTGTTCGGCAGCTACTGTGCGATGACATGGTGCATTGTCGTCCATGAAAAGGAACTGCGGACCCATAGCGCCTCTAAAAAGACGCACATATGGAAGAAGAATCTTGTTACAATAACGGGTCCCGTTGACTGAACCTGCGTCGAAGATGTGAAGATCTGTACGACTACCAAGCATGATGCCTCCTCAAACGAGAACACCGCCACCTCCATACCTGTCCCTTTCAATGATGTTCGAGGGATGATTGCGGCTTCCCCGCTCTCTCCAGATGAGTATGCGATGAGAATCGCTACTCAGACTGAATCTGCTCTCATCTGTAAAGAGTACTCGTCCCCATTCATTGTATCTCCAATTCCGGTGTTCCCGGCACCACAGAGAACGCCTTCTTCGATGGGCAGGCGTTAGAGGTACACACCGTACAGGGCGTCGTGCAAACAGACCACCACCGCGCAGTCTTCTGGCCACGGTAAAACGCGATATCGGTCGTCCAGTCGCCTGCGTCGTGTGTCTAGCGATTTCTCCCGCTGTCTGCCGCTTGTTTCTTCTGGCCTGTAAGGCAATATACCGGTCATCTGCGGGTGTGGTTCCTCGTGGACGACCACTACTAAACGCCCGGATAGCTGTTCCTGTAGTTTGAAATTGTCTCCAAAGTCGTAAAACGATGCTGTGAGCAATTCCGAACTCTGCAGCCACACTTGTCACGCTGCGGCCTTCCTCCAACTTCCCAATGATTCGACCTCGGGTAAAAGCATCCAGACGTCGTCTAAGAAATTGATTATTCGCCATTTCTCGCTGAGGCAGCAACTCGGTGTGATTTTAACTGCTATACGGCATGCAATCTCTTTGCCAGAAGTACTGATCTTACAGCGACAACATGCTTTAGACTACTTAGACACTCCCCATTACGTCTACCTGCATATCTGCGCATGTGCTACCGTACATCACCTTACTTAATCTCCTGATTGGTCTTTCTGTCCGCTCTGCCTCTTCGTTCAGCTGATATGCTAATTTTTCGACTTCGTCCTTAATTTTTGCACACCAGTATATTTATTTATTTCAGCCCTTAGTGAAATGAGGGGTGTAAGCAAGAAAAAACGTTCGTCGGTATTCGGAGGCATATTTAAAATTTGGTTTCATACCCGGTCCATAAACGGTCAACTTTTGTCTTTTTATGCCAATAATGCCTGACCAAAAATCAATGAAAACTAAACGGTCAACTTTGTCTTTTTATGAAGCCTGCAAAAGAAATAGGTCGTCTTGAGGCACATTTTGAAGGCGAAAGATAATGCTATTAATTCAGATTCGAAATTATTTTCACACTTTAAGGAAATTTTTGAAAATAAAGTAATATTAAAGTGTCTATTTACTGCTCATAATGCAACTGTTAATCGTGCTCTTAAGGCTATTTATCAAATTTCATTACTGATCGCTTAATCTGGGAAAAGCCGTACTATAGGGAAGAATTTAATCAAGCTATCAATATCAGCATTTAAAACTGTTCTAGACAAAGACATTAAAGCTATGCCACTAAATAACAATACTGTTTGGAAAAAAAAAAAAAAAAAAAAAAAAAAAAAAAAAAAAAAAGATTAAATGAGTAAGGATATTGAAATACAACTTGTTGAAAAGCTGAAAAAAAGAAACCTTTCGGTGCAAATGGATGAACCAACTTTGAGAGACAGTGAGGCCTTACTTGTAACTTATGTAAGATATATTAATAAAGGGGATTTTGCCGAAGAAATGTTCTGTAAATCATTACAAAGCACCACTACCTCCAAAGATATTTATAGTAAGCTAAGTTACTTAGATATAAAAAATATACGAATAAAAATATAATACATCTTGTACTGCAGATGGTGCTCCTAATATGATGGTTGAAAAATAAAATAATGCACGGAATAAGAAAAAGGGTTGCTTAAAAT